TTTACTAGAAGGTAATGGTGGACAAAAGTGATCCTGACTAGTCTTTCTAGAGAGAGTAGTGCACAAAAGGAGTGGATGAAGGGGTTTTGTCTTTAATCAGCAGTTTAAAGACCTTTCTTTAGCAGGACTTTGAGAACATGGGGACCAGGAAACCTGAGGGCTGCTTTAACCCTTCTTGATTTGAGGGTGGAAAAACCTCATGTGCTTCCTGTTCTACCCAGTTCTGCAGCACAGAGGTTTCAGGTGATGCTCACATCCAACTGTTGCATCTAGTTCAGCATCACAGACCTTCCTGGGGGTCTCTTTCCTTCAGCTGCAGCTCCCATGGGGCTGTGACCTCTGGCACGTGGGAGTTGGACACATCATCCCAGGGCAGCTGCCCTTAAACTTGGCATTGAAAAACTTCACCCATGGTGTTATTTGTCATAGGAGATACCTCTAAACATAGGAGACAGGAACACCAGGTGCATAAGCTTCAGCATCTGGTGCTGGTTTTGCCACAGTCCCTGTTACAAAGGGCTGCAGCAGCTGTGTTGCTGCTGAATTTTTGGAGAGCAATTTTTTAACCTGTTTTGGTTGCCAGTTGTCTTCCTGGTAACGTTCAGCATTATGTAGCAAAGGGAGGTAGGAGAGTCCAACTGGTCTTTGAACTTGGTTTTGGAGGCTTAATGCAAGACTGTGCACAGCTCTTGATCCTTCACCTGGGGTTAAAGTGATTAAAGTGGTTAGTGGAACGGACTTGGGGATTTAAACTGGGATGTCTGGGCTTCTGTTTGTTTGCCTGAGCTCAGAAGTTTGGTGTTTTGTTTTCATCCTTAAATTGGAACTGCATGGACCCTGCAGCTGTTGTCTCCTGTGGCTAGGAGAAGCTCTGTAAGTCACTTAGAGAAAATGATTCAGTCCCTGACAGGCATCCAGACATCCCATCGTAATTGGAGCATGGGGTTAATGAGGTAGAATGACTTTATAACAGTGTTCCTGGGTCACCTTTCAAATTTCAGTGGTGCTTTAGACATGTGTTTCTGAAGTGTTCCATGCTGGGATTCCTTTCTGTCCCAAAAGATGAGGGAAATGGACTTCGTGTGATGTTCCATGTTCTTTCTTTTCCATCTGGCTATTGTAACGACTTCTCAAAGCAATGCTGCCTCCTCAGATACCTGGAAATAGGGACTTTGGAGGAACTTGGACTTTTCTGATGTTTTTGTCTTCTCTTTGCACAGAAGAGTAACATCTATTCATGCAATAAGCTTACAATCTGTGTTCATGCTTGTGGCCCACAAACAGATGCCTTAGTTTTATGTGAATCTTACTACAAAGAATTCTAGTGAAGAGCAGACTTTCTAATGTATTTTGGAGGTCTCAGGAGCACCAGCCCTGTTCAGAGGAGCTGCTCTCTGCCTTCAGTAAGGTGAAGCACCTGCCGTGTAGCACCCTAAAACTCCTGTGTGTGCTTCATTTGCAGGAAACTGTTTGTGGGTGGCTTGGACTGGAGTACAACACAAGGTAAGCCCTGGGCTCTGAGCTGCTGGGCTGGGTCCTGGGGAGCTGCAGAGCAGTGCAGATGTGGCTGTAAACAGCAGGGTCTGGATGAGATTCCACTGTTCTCCTCTGTTAATGAATAAAACTTTGTACAGAATTTAACTAGATGTTAATCACTTTTGGGTTTATATTTTCTACCAGTATTTGGTACTGAAGTTTTTGTCAGTACAGAAGGTGATGATTTTTTATCATTGCTTTATTACAGTGTTACTTTCCTTTTGTAGAAGTGACAATAAACCATTATAGACCCGTTGTTTAGAGGAAGTAGAATTGAATCATTTTCAGCAGATGAGTTTGAACTTGTTTGGCAGTTCACTTCTCTTCTGTGACCACAGCCTGCTGAAGTGAGTGGCCAGTTCTGTTTAATGTCTGCTGCTTTTTCTTCTTTTTTTTTTTAACAGAAACCCTTCGTAGCTACTTCTCCCAGTATGGAGAAGTCGTAGACTGTGTAATCATGAAAGACAAAACCACAAACCAGTCTCGAGGATTTGGATTTGTGAAATTTAAAGATCCCAACTGTGTGGGAACAGTACTGGCCAGCAGACCTCACACGTTAGATGGCCGAAATGTAAGTGGCTCTTGTCTTCTGTCTGTTTCTGCTCCAGACTGTTTCAAAGACCCGTTTCAGACTCTGGCTTCTCCTTTGCAGACTGGATAGTGTGGAAGTTACCTGATTGTTGGTTTTAATTATTTATTGTAAGACAGCTTTAACTCAATGCTTTGTGTCATGTTGTAGAAGCGATACTGACGCTAGCTTTGATCTGAGGAGCTGGATTTCAGCAGTGCTGTGTTCAGCTGCCATAAACCTAACGTTTAGAGCCATATTCTGCATGCTGAGATCTGACCAAACTGGAACTTCTTCCAGATTGATCCAAAGCCATGTACGCCTAGGGGGATGCAGCCAGAAAGGACACGACCGAAGGAAGGATGGGTAAGGAAAGATACTTGGTGTTTCCTGCCTCTTTTCCAAATTTTGGCTTGCCTTCTACCAGTTGGATTGAATTCACTTGGATTCTATCCATGTTTTAAAATCAGGAGTCAGCATGCAGGGCTTGAGTGTGAATTTTATGCCTGAAAAATATTTTCTCCTTGGATTTGCACGGGGAGACTCCACGTACCCCAGTGTGCTGGGGAGCACGTTGTGCCTGCAGCACACAGTCTGTGGGTGTGCTCTTCTCTCAGCTACAAGCAGTAAGAGCTTCTCCAGATCTTGGAACAGGGGTCTGGAAGTGCACTTGCAGGGCTGTGGCTCTTTTCCAGCCTGCTTCACACCCTGCAGGTTAATATAATTTCATTAGAAAATGAGGAAATGGCCTCAGAACACAGTCCCTAGTTTTTCTCATCTTCTGAAGAGCAGTGGCCGGGTTGTAACTGAAAATGCTAAAATTGGGGGCTCTGAACATGCAGTTGTGTCACTTGAATGACCAGGAGACTTCAAGCCTGGAGGTGGCTCCCCCTCTACCTGCAAGAGCCCACTGTTCATCTTTAACTGTAAAAAATGATAGAAGCAGCCAACTTTATTGTCCTTCTGACTGATGTTGTTTTTTTCTCCTTGATTTAGCAGAAAGGATCCAGGAGTGATAACAATAAATCAAATAAAATTTTTGTTGGTGGGATTCCTCATAACTGTGGTGAGACAGAGCTCAGGGAATACTTCAAGAAATTCGGAGTGGTGAGTCATTGAGCACGATGCAGTTATCAGTCAGCTGTGAGATGCTTTCCCTCCCCACTGCCTTTTCTCAGATTTTGTCAAGCTGTCAAATTTTGGTTAATTCAGACAAACTGATGTAGGGACGTTTTGAAGAGTTCTGTAATAAACTGTAGTAAACGTTCATCATCTCGAAATGTATCTGGCTGTTTGTCAAAATCTATTGCTGTGATAAGGGATTGAATTTGCTGCTGCTGGCTCCTCTTCTTTGAGTCTACCTGATGTCTGGTTCTCTTCCCTTCCTGCAAAAACTCCTGAGTTGGCTTAAGAATAACTTTTTCTCTTTTTGGTTGATAACTTGCAGCTTGGCAACTCAAAATTTTTTTCTTGGAGGGGAACAAAGTCCTTCAGTGAGGTTGTGTCTAAGGTCCTGTACAGACAGGTTAAGGTTTGTTCTCTCCTGCCACTATTTTGGTAACAGTAGTAGCTTCTAAATCATCATCTGGAATCAGCTGAGTTCTGTTGTCCCTAGAAAACCTCCCTTCTAAAGACAAACTGCTACTCATGTTACACACTTGTTAATTCAGTTTGTAACCTCAGACTGCAATTACTATATCCTCTGATTTTGTGTTTTATGTTGTTTTTTTTTTTCTGTTTAGTTTAATTCTCACTTATCCCAACTATTGCTGGATTTACTGAACTCAGTTGTGAATAAGTTTGATGACAATTGCCTGAGTTAAATTCAGGACTGTGCCAGTTAATTCTCATTTATCCCAACTATTGCTGGCAAAATACTGAAGTAAATTACTGAACTCAGTTGTGAATAAGTTTGATGACAATTGCCTGAGTTAAATTCAGGACTGTGCCAGTGGGTGTGAACTTGTCATCCTTGAGTGGCATTCACTGTGTGCCTTTGATGGTTTTTAATTACCTTCCTTTAAGGTCTCTTGGTGGCAGCAAAGGATTTGTTGGTTCTTTCTCAAGTGGCTAAGTTTATCAACAGTACTGTATTTAAAATTTGATCAAGACAATGTAAAAAAATACATCTAAAAGGCAATGGCTAAGAACTGTTTGTTCAGTTTGAAAGGCTGCATTCGGTGTGAATGGCCTGGAAAGCAAGTAGTGGAATTTTAACGACAGCCTGGAAATCAGGGAGTCTGTATGGTGTTGTTAATGAACTCTCCTTGGACAGTAGAGGCTCCTAGGTTTGGTTTGTGGCCACAGAGCAAGGAGACAAAAGCAGGCCCTGATCCCTGGACATGGTAATTGCCTGCTAAATAAGACCAGTGTGAAGAAGGGGATCCCCAGGGAGCAGTGGGGAGAAGGCCCAGCCCTGCCCCCCCAGCTGGTAACATCCCATGGGGTGGTGGAACAGCTTGAAAAGGGTGTGTTCTAGCTGTAAGTAAAAGGTGTGTTTGCATCAGATCTTAAGCTAATTTAGGGGATTCTAGTAAAAAATATTGTAAGATTAACTTGCAGGTGAAGGTGTGATTCTGTGACTGCACACGTGGTGACTGCTTGTCTGCATCTGAGACATTTAAAGGCAGTTCCTTTCAACCATTTTAATGCTGCCTTTGACGTAAATGTTACACCTCTGGTTTTGTTTAAATTGTAACTCCCCGTGGTGCTTGTTCTGAAGAAAATCCTGAAGCCCTCAAACAACTTGCATTTTCTGGTTCTTTGCATGTTTGGGTTTTTTTTAAGCTCAAGATCATGCTGATAATGATCATCCCTAACTTAGGGGTTTTTTGTAATGTCATTTAAAGCATCAATGTATAACTGGTGCTCTGTGCCACACGTGCAAGGGAGTAATTCAGAGAAGCTGTGCAAATTCTGAAGTGTGTTCAGCATTAAAGCTGCTTCTCACGTCGAGAGTGAAAATGTTTAAAAACAGAAAGTAATCTTCTGAGAAGCTGCTGGGGAGAGCAGCAGCCTCTGGTGTTTGTTTATAGGCTCCAGGGTGGGTATAACCAGCATAGTGACCTTAATGCTAGATTAAAATCTTAAATGTGATGAGACCCCAAAAAGCCACAATGTAGCAGCTTTTCAGAGCAGATGAACTGGGGCTTTTCTTAAGCCCCTGTGCAGAGCCCTGTTCCCAGCTCGTTCCCTGTGCCTGGTGTGGATTGTGCTGCCTGGAGTGACTGTTGATAATGCTCCCCTGGTAGCACAGTTAGTAGAATTTCCCTTCTCTCTTCCAGGTCACTGAAGTTGTAATGATCTATGACGCAGAGAAACAGAGGCCCCGAGGTAAAGGCTGATCTAGTTTGTCCTTGAAATTTCTTCATGCTCTCCTATAGTCAGATGGCAAACTATTTCACACCATCAGAAAAGGTAGACTTTTTTTTTTTCATGTGTTGCCTCAGGAAAAAGAATAATTCACTGGGCAAAGATCACTTCAAGTCTAGACTCTTCATCTGCAGCTTTAGTTGGTATCTATGCATTTAAAGTCAGATGTTTCATGTTCATTTTCTTCTTTTTTTTATTTCTTTTTGGCTAGTTTTTTTAGTTGAATGAAATTTGATTCTCGAGCCGCTCCTGTGGCTTAAGGTGCTATTGGGGGGGAATAGCACAGACTTTCCTCCTGTTCCACATGAAAGGTATGTTGGTGTCTAATTGCATGGGGGGGATACTCCAGTTCAGAGTATTTCTGAACATGGCTTTAGAACAGAATCCATCCATTACCTGCTTTTTGTTTTGGTTAAATGGCTTCACTTAAAATGAAAGAAAAACCACTTTCTAAACAACACGAAATAATTCAGAAGTACATCTATTTTTTGATTGGGATGTCTAATCCCTGTATGCTGGACTGCTTTTTTTTTTATTTTTAAGGAAACAAAACAAAACACCCTGGAAGTTTCACTGGACTATTTAATCAAGTTGGTAACCTTTGGTCAAAATATGAAGCAAGTTCCATGTCATCCACCTTCCACTGCATCTGCCATCTGTTTGACAATTAAGAGGCAATATTTTAAATCTGTGAAGCTTAGTTGCACTGACCACCTAATAGCATGTTCTACATGCTGGAGAATAGTTTGCCATCTGAACTTTCATTTCTCTTCTGACTCATTATTAAGAAATATATTCTTCACTTCATATTTATTAAGCTGTTAAGTCTTAGTTTTATTTTTAATTTAGACATACATCCTTAGTGACATATTTAAGTGTTTCATAGTAAAGTATGGTAATGTTAAGTAAGTTCTTTTCTTTTATTTTCTTTTCTCTCTGTGAATTGTTTGACTGTGATTAACGATATCTCTTTAGATTTCTTCTCTCTAGGTGATAATTTATCACAGAGGTACAGGCCAGTTCCACAGTCAGAGGAGGGACGGGCTTTGTCTTTTATTGGAGTGTAAACGAAGTTTCAATATATTTGTTTTTTTTGTTTTCTTGCTTTAGCTATCTTAATCTTCTTGCAACAGATACCTTTTCTTTAAGCAGAACATAAATTCATCTATTTAAATGCTCTGAAGCATTTGATTTTAAATAGAGGAGGCAGCAGAGACAAACATACGGGCATCTGAATATAATTTGTGGCTGAAGTTCTGAAGCATTTCAGTAATTATTTTATCATTGATACTTTTGTAATATTTAATCCCAGCCTTGCAGCCTCTGAGCAAAAGGTACTAAAACATCATGCCTGGTCTGGATTAATCCTGGTCTCAATTAATGGCTTCTCTGCTTAAAGCTATACTAAAAAAAAAAACCAAAACAAAACAAAACAGGGTTTTGGGTCCACTGACTAGGTGGGAGCTTAAAGCAAAAGTGGGAGACGTGTGCAGGTTTGAGAACCATCCTCCAGCATGCAGATGTTCTGCAGGATGCTCTGTCCCTTAGTTCTTCTGACTTCTTCAGCAGTGTTCTTGAATCCTGTTGCTCTGGCTTTCCTTTTTGTTCCGTTACATTCTTTGTGCAGTTTGGTAACTGAGTGTCATCTCCAAAAATGGCCTTGCTAGTCCCTGGGGGTGTGCTAGGGAGCATTCCTCCCAGTCTGTGCGTGGTGCTGCTGGTCCTGCAGCCCAGACAGGTTTTCTCTTGCCTCCTCTCTGGGCCGTGTGCTGCTGCAGAGCACTGCTGGTCTGTACCCTTGGCCTTTCAGCACGACACCTTGGTGACTGCAGGGTTAGACAATTTAAAAGACCAGTTCAATGCCATCTTCTGCTCCTGCCACTCTGAATTCTGCCTTCTCCCATTAACTTTTCCATCCTCGTGTTTTGAGCAGATCCCCCTCTGCCTGTCGTTTTACTGGTTTGCTGGTAGGAGGAGGGAAAACCATCCCCATTACTAATCCCTGGAGCACTCCTCTACCTCCAGCTTCTCCCAAGAACGCTGGGAACCAGATTCCTGGTTAGTGTCAGAGCTGCAGGGATGCCCTTGAGGAGCTGGCTGTGTCTCCAGGTGTCCAGGTGGTCTTTGGTTACTCGCAGCCCCTGCCCACCTCTGCTGGCTCTGCTGCAGGCAGTGCTTCCAGCAGCCTCCTCCCAGAGTGCCCCCTCCAGCCCCCTCACACCTGAGAGGAAACCACGGCCTTGGTGCAGGTTCTGCTTCTCGTGCTTTCTGTTCTGGGCTAAACCAACAACTGTGAAGTAATTTACAGGTTCTTGCTGTGTTTGTTCTCCTCTTCCCCTTGGCTGCAAACCAGCATCACTGCTCTGTTCCATAGCCCGCTTGGATTCCTGCTAAATGCAATTAGTTCCTCTAGTCTTCACTGAAGCCCTGTCCTTGGGAGAATAAAGCTACTGGATGATACATGTCATCACTTTCACTGTATTTAAAAATCTCATGTTGTTGGAATTTTGCTGTGTATTATACTCTGGTTTCTTCCCTGTTCCCTATCTTGTAGAGTTTGACCCCTTTAAATCTTTTTTTTCTTTGTTTGTTTCTTTCCTGGCTTCCTCTTACTCTCCCTGCTTCTCCCCCTCCAAACCCAATCCCACAATCTATTCCCCTCCTTCAGTCTTCTTGGAATCCAGCTAAACAAGCAACCCTTGTATGCAGATGGTTTCCATCATTTTTCTTTCCCATATCTTTCTAGATAAAGGCTGTGGTACTAAGTGTGCAATATAAATACAAATACTTTTCTTTTTGGCTCTAATACTCAGATTTCTAGTTAACCTCAGACAAATATATTGTGATGAAATGCTGCTCTCAATTTTGAGGCTGCTTTCATCACAGGTCAACAAAACTTCGTTTATACTGCCAGTCTCTTGTGTGTGGGAAATGCTAAGTTTTTTTCCTTTTTATTTTAAGTTTATTTTAGTGATGTCTTTTGCTCTTGTTGCTGACAGCAGAATTTGACCTGCTGGAATCTATTTTGGCCTGTATCTTTGTGTATTTTTTTATATATATAAACTTTTTTCTACAATAGGCCTCTTTGGGCTTACCCAACCCAGTTGGATAAGCTTCGAGAGACACTAACTGTTAGAGACTGTATTTCTGTTTAACGCTTTAGAGCAATATTTGGCTGCTGTCAGCACTAGCTGCAAAGCAAAACGCAAACCAAGGGGGAGATCTTGGGTTTCAGAGAAGCAGGAGTGCATCCATGTTCCATACGCTTCCGACGCCGCACCTCGGGTTTTCTTTCTAATTTTTATTGCTCTGCCCTTAGCTAATCTCCAGAATGGCACAATCCGTGTACTGCATGTGTTCTTACCTTTCCTGGGAGTCGGTTGTCACAGCAGCAGCCAGTGGTTGATGGCATGAACCAGGCTCTGTGTTCTGTGCAATTAACCACGATTTTGCCACTCTCTCGGCAGTGTCGGCAGCTACAACCTAAGCGCAGTGGTTCTCAAAGTGTAACTCAAAAGTGAGGGAGTCCTGGGGGCTGTGCTGCTTTTCCAGCATCTCCTGCAAGCGTTAGACACTCCCCCACGACCTTCTGGAAAGCTGCTGGGTTCAGCTGGGCTGGGATGGGCTGCCACCACCGAGGGCCCTGGTCAGATAAAAGGGAACGGGCCACCCCGGGGGAACCGGAGCAGTTAGCAGCAATGTCTTGGGCAAAAAGAGGGCCTGAAAAGCACCACAGATTTTTTTTTTCAACAGAAAACCAGCAGGAAATACAAGAAATACACTAGATGAAGGGCTGTGATGGGAAGTGTCGCTCTGGGTGTCAGCCACACTTGCCCAGGGGTGGGTTGCTGTGGCCAGGAGGGAGGTTGGCCACGTGCTTTTTCCAAGGTGTGGAAAACTTGAGAACCTCTGATCTAGGTTGTCAGTTTCTGAAGCTTCTCATTCATCCATGGAGTGGTAAAATTTCTCATGCTTTAACAGCTACATTTCAAAGACAACTTTCTTATTTTCCACGGAAAACATTCCCTAATTGGAAGATGGGATAAGGGATGGGAGGAAGTTGCTTTGCAGCTTTGGGCAATAGGGATGTAAGAGGTTTTTCTGGGGAGCCAAGTCTGACTCCAGGATAGGAGCAGCAAAGTTACCTGGCTTGAATCTGCTGTCCCACAAGTACTTTCTTCTCAGTCGTGTGGCACAGTTCTATTTATGGCTGTACTAGCACTTTTTTTTCCACTTCCTGGTAGGTGGGTAAGGAATCAAATCGAATTAAAAGGCGGTTAACAAGCTGAGTTTGTAAGTTGCATGTGTGAAACCAAGACGAGGCATTAATTGCCTAATTACAGGAAGTATCCATTGCAATTTTCTCAGATTGACTTTTTTTGAGACTTTAACACAAGGCTCGTTATCTGAAACCCCTGCTTGAACCCTTGGTCCGCCCCTAATACTGTTCATCATCCTGTTTTGTGTCACAACACCCTGCTACCTTGATTCACTCTTCGTCGTTGGCTAGGTTTTGGATTTATTACTTTCGAGGACGAACAATCAGTGGACCAGGCTGTCAACATGCATTTTCACGACATCATGGGCAAAAAAGTGTGTAGTTGTAGTTTTATTTTACCTTAAGAAAGAACCAAGTCTTGGGCAACTAGCAATTTCACTGGTGGGTAACCTGGGGGTCGGCTCAGTGCAGCGGGAGGACACCGAAACCCAAACTCGAGGCTTCGCCCACGGAGGTGGGGGAGGTCTTCTGAGTTTGCTGCAGTGGGTGAGAGAGGCAGTGAGCTGGTGGCTTAGCCCAGAGAGGAGACAGATCTTGAAAGCCTGAGGATTTAGGCTGTGGGCTGTGTTGTTTTGGGTCAGGCCTTGTGTGTACAGACCTGGGGGGTGCTCTGGCCGAGCAGAGCTCGCACCGGAGCGATTCCATCGCTGCTGCCTTTGCTCTGAGCACAAAACTTGGGTGCAGGGATAGGAAGGGAGTTGTTTCCAGCTGTTTGAAAACCAGAATCCCAATGAAATCTGAGTTGTTCAAGGCTTGGTTTAAGATACCACTCCTTCAGATGTATATTTGATACTCAAATTTTGAGGTGGTGTGAGACAATCTACTTTATATGTTCTGAAACTTAAAAAGAGAAAACAAAAAAAAAAAAACATCCTGAAGGATTGGTTTTTTAAAAAATTGGGTCACTTACTGTGAAACTTTGATACAAACCCACGTACTCTATATAGTATTTAACCACAATGCAGTTAAGTGACCTCTGGTTGTTTCATCTTCATACTGTGTTGTCAGCAAATGAGTGTTTGATAGGGAGGAATTTTTTAGGCTTGCTTTGATGTTACTCGGCAGGGAACGTGCTCATACCTGTGGAAAAAAAAAAAAGAAGCAAAGTAAATTGTTGCAGGACACCCAAGTTTTATGCAGAGACATAAGTTCTCAAAGAATTAACCACAGGAAATTTTGGTAAATGTGAAGTAGCTTCATGGTGTACCCACGGCTTTGAAAGTAAGTGTTCAAGCCACCTTAGAGCAAAGAGATTTCAAGGAAACCCAAGAGCACTGTCACTTCCCTGAAATGATTGCATTGTATAATTTTGCATTGCCTTTTAAAGTCTTTTCTATGTGCTGATACTTCATGAGCATTTATTTAGCCAGCGGGGGATGTGTTGTTGCCTATCAGTGGAGTTTTGGTTTGTTATGCAGTAAATAATGCCTTTTATTCCCATGAACTTACTTTGGGGTTGAGGGGTAGGCTGATTTCCCAAGGATGGAAATGAAGCAGAGGAAGAAATGTGCTTGTGCAATCAGGAACGTGAGGGCTGCTCTTGGTTACTGGTGTCCTCCCTGCCCTCTCTGAGCTCTCCCTGGAGCTGCCTCCAGCCCCCTGGGCAGTGCCAGTGCCAGGTCCTGTGCTGGATGGAGAGGGCACAGAGGCAGGGCAGGTCCCTGTGCCCTGGGGGGATGGAGAGCCCTGTGACAGCGCCGGGGTCACCTCTGCTGCCGCTGCTCAGGCTACAGCAGAGCCAGCTCAGAGTTCTCCATTGTTTCCCAGGCAGTCTTGGTACCAAAATGAAATAATCTATTTTTGTCTCCCCCCTCTCTCTTTTTTTTTTCCTTTTTCCTCTTTCAATGACATAAAGCACAGAAACCTGCAGTGTTTGCTTGGCGAGGGGCAGCGGAGACGCCTCGTGTCTTGGCGTGAACAGGGCTTTGGGCAGGTGTAGAATTCTAGCCTGGGCACTAAGAACATTGCAGGGGCATTTTTCAGTCCTCAGTTTGGCAGTTTGCTGCTTCCAAATGTGCACTGAAATATTAATGGCATTCCCCCCCATGGATGAACGACCCCCAGCCCCTCCGCTCTCCCCGTCGCCTCATAATCCCTCCTTAAAAAATGGTATCTCTGGCTTTCTGGTAATTAAAAAGGTATCTCTGAAACAAATCCATATGTTGTTGAAAGAGGAAAAAAAATTAAAATTGCAAGAAGGACTCTGCTTTTGTAAGCAATAACTGAATTCCCTCAAGGCAAATGTGTTAAGACTCATTAATTTGAGTCCTTTGAAAAATTCCCTCGGTTCCTCTCTGGAAAGGCCTTCAGCTGACAGAGATTTGGTTACTGTCATGTCTCATGTCCTTGGGGCATCTGGGGGGGTGTGGGGGGCTTTGTCCTTGCCTGGTGCCTGCTTCCTGTTTGTTCTCTGACATGAATGGTTTTTAAGACATGGCAGGAAGAATTCTGAATACTTTATTTTCCATACTACTCAGGCCCATTGATGATTGAGATTTATTTTCTTTGTACTCTGGCACCCATTAAAATTAATCATAAAATAAAAAAGGCTTTAATTCAGCATGCATGAGTGCTGAGAGTGTTTCATTAAATCAGAAACTGGAATTTTTTTTTTTTTTGGGGGGGAGAGGGAGGTTTATATTGAATGTGCAGCTTATTTTAAGTAGGTCAGATGCACTTATTCCATGGCTTGGAACACTAGGACACTTTATCTTTGAATAAAATAAGTTAAGCACTGTGGCTTACTAATTTTAAAAACAGGAGGGCTTTTGTCACTGACTTAACACAGTATGAAGATTTGCTTCTTATTGACTCAACTGTCCATTTTTATTACTTGCATGTTTGTTTACTTTTTTGTTAGATGTAATGTAAGATTCTCTTATCACATCCATTCCCTCTGACATTGTTTGAGTTAATTGAGATTCTTTAAGCGTTAGCCTGGGGAAGGTAAGTCTTTATCTTCCATTAGACATTTAAATAAAACCTTAAGTTTAAAAAACAAACAAACAAAAAAAACAAACAAGCAAATGTGTGTTTCTCAGGTATGAGCAGAGCTGAAATTGCAGTTAGATGGGGTGGGCTTAAACTGTAACTTCCAAATGAACCCCAAACGTGTTGGAATGGTTAAAGCATTAGTACCCTTTTTCAGAGCGTACTCTTTACTCAAAGTTGGCTTTTTTTTTTACTGAAAACATCATCTTTGTAACTCTTGCCTTCAATGTTAAGCTAATACATAAATAATTTGAAAGATTATACTTGTTTTGTAAGTGAAGAGCCGTTGTAAGAGGGTACTGCTGTTTTAAGGTTAAAGCCAATGAACACTGCACTGTGATGAACCAGAAGTAATTTGTAGGATGTGTTTTACTTGAAATACTTCAATAGTAGGACTTGTAATGTCTTAACATCATATATATTGTACCTGAGAAACATTTTAAATTACTGGCCTTAAGTTTAATAATTAAGTATTTAGACATAAGTCATAAGATGCTAAGTGTAGTCTTAAGTGTAATTAAGGGTGCGTGTGAAGGGAAGGGGGGTGTCTGAACCTGCCCCATCTCTGCTGAACGCTGGCTCTGTTTGTTTAGGTGGAGGTGAAACGTGCAGAGCCCCGGGATAGCAAGAGCCAGACTCCAGGGCCGCCCGGCGCCAGCCAGTGGGGGAACAGGATCATGCCGAGCGCTGCCAATGGCTGGGCAGGTCAGCCCCCTCCCACCTGGCAGCAGGGATACGGCCCCCAAGGTATGCCTGGAGTCCTCTGTGGGGATGCAGCATTGCCAGGGTGAGGACAGGCTGAGAGCCCTGGGGCTGAGCAACAGCTGAAGGGCCCCGGGGGGCAAGAGGCTGGGGCCAGACTCTGGTCAGTGGTGCCCAGGGACAGGACAAGGGGCCACGGGCACCAAGCGGAACCCAGGAGGTGCCACCTGAGCAGGAGGAGAAAATTCTTTGGTGTGAGGCCTGGAGCAGCTGCCCAGAGAGGCTGTGGAGTCTTCTGCTCTGGAGAGATCCCAAACCTGCCTGGATGTGACCCTGGGCACCCTGCTGGAGCAGGGGGGTTGGAGGAGATGATCTCCAGAGACTCCCAACCCCCCCACGCTGGGGTTCTGTGATCTTGGAGCTGCTGTCACAGGGTCTTGCCTTTACAGCCAGCTGCTAATTTGTTTTTCTGGCAAGTGAGGATATTCCCAGGCTTGTCAGTGCTATTGTTCTGCTTGGCTACTGACAGCAGAACTAAAATTCCACACTTCAGCCCTTCCCAAGGCTGCCTTTCCCAAAAAGCTTGGTTTCACCAGGCAGAAGGCAGTGAGTTGTGCTGAGCCTAGCGTGTCCCACGCAGTGCTTCACCTGCTCAGTCTGGTTCTGCCTCTCCCCAGACAGAACTTTGTGGATGCAGTAAGGTGGAGAAGCTGCTGAGGATGCTCAAGGTCTCAAGCTGTGACTCCAGCTGTGGGGTTGCAGCCTGCCTGACACCCTGATGAAAAATCTTACTGAAATGCAGGTTTTCTGGGATGCAGCAGCTTCGAAGGAAGCTATAAGTAAAATTTGAAAGGGATGAGAGAAAAACAGATGGTCTTGTCTTTGGGTTTTATTGCTTAATGTAGCCTTGAAAAAATAACAAGCAGCTCTGGGGCTGGTGGTGGTGCAGGGGAGCACTTACTGCTTATCATTTTCTTGATTTAGCTGGAACCCTCCAGGGCTGGAAGGAGCAGCTGTGTGTGTTGGGTTTGGTGGCTGTAACACCCACCCCCTCCCAGATTCTGAAGACAGGATAAATATGCTGAGTTCACCCAAAGACAGTTTTGATAACTTGTGGAGAAATAGGGTGCTGTAATTGAGTTGAGTTTGACAGAACAGAGCCTGGCTGGCTCCAGCAGATGAGAAACACTCACCTGGGGGCTGAGGGGGCGTCGCTGCCTCACCTCCTGCTCCAGCCAATGGCCCCTCGGGGGGGATCACTGCAGATGGTGGTGTTCTGCTTTGGAAACCTCAAAAATAACAAGGATAAACCCAGGAGCATATTAGAAAATGCTTTGGATGTGTCCTCTGCTCTGGCTCTTGGTGTTTCTGGTCTTCACACGAGCAGAGTTCCCTGCACTGAGTGCACTCACAGCTCTGGAACACTCCCTCCCGTTTGAGTTGGGGGCTGCTCTCTCTGCTCAGTGTTATTTGCTGAAGGACTCAAATCTTTCCAGAACTGTGTATTCAGAAATAGTCCGAGACACTTTCTTGGACCATAGAAATAGATCAGTGAGGTGCACGGGGAGGATACCCAGCCTACTCCAGAGCCCAGAGCACCATCAGCTGGCTTTAAATCACTCCTGTTCCACCGGTGCAGCTGCAGTGTGTGTGTAAGTTGCTCTCTTTGTTCTTTTTCAGGGATGTGGGTGCCAGCTGGACAGGCAATTGGTAAGTATGTTACATGGGACCAGTTTTGAAAGCAGAATCCTGCTGAGCGAGGGTGCATTTCCTGTAAGAATTCAGCAGTTTGTGGGTTTCTGTAGTATTCAACCTACATTTAAAAGCTTGATTGAATCTATCCTGAAAGAAGGCAGGAGAAGATGGTGTGTTCTTAACAAATCAGCAATGGGAGCTGACACAGATCCTGCTGTTGCCAACCACAGTAGTTTGTTATCAAGGAATTGCTTTCTAAACTGCAGTTATTTACAGCAGGGATACGTGGAGGACAGAGATTTCCCAAAGTAAGAATTCATAGAAGGCTGGGACTGCATCTGAAACCCGTCACACAGCTTCACCCCATCTGGAGGAGGCTGTGCAGCAGCTGCTCATGGCCTGCTGGTTTCTCTTGGTTCCCCAGGTGGATATGGGCCACCCCCCCCCGGGAGAGGAGCGCCGCCCCCGCC